AAACAAAAAAAAAAAAAGTTCACGATTAAATGGAAAATAATATTGTTTACTAACGTATTTGACTATATGCATATATATCCTCCTTTATTTAGAGTTTTAATTTTTTTAATATACTAAAAGGTCATTTTATATATTTTATATACAATTGAATTAAAGATTTTCAAATACAATATACATAAGTATGATATTACATATTATATAACTGATATGAATATAATTTTATTTAAAAAAAATTATTTGTTCGCTTAAACATGTTACACAAGAATTTATTTTATCATAACAAATACAAGATTCTATACGTATCTGCTTACGCAAACAATTAATTAATTGCCTAAACAAATTTGTGCAGTTCAGTTCAATGCTAACAAATTACTATTTCCATATTATAAACTAAAATATTACAAAATAATAATAATAAAAAAAAAAATCAATGTGATACCATAATTAATTAATGTCTATTTTTAAATAATGATTTTTTCTAAACAATATATATATTGAGTAATCACATTTAAGGCTATGTTTGGTAAACCAAATAAGTTAGCTTATAGCTTATTTGGTTAGCTTATAAGCTTCATGTATTCAAATAAGCCCCGTTTGGTAGGACGGGCTTATTTAAAAAGCTCGAGCTTATTTGATAAGCTTGTTTAGGTAGCTTTTCAAATAAGCTAGTTGAATCTTTTATTACAACTAGTTTATCAGCTAATTTTACCAAACACTTTTATCATATAAGCTAGTTTTTCAACTATAAGTCATAAGCTATAAGTTATAAACTCAAAAATTACATATAGCTATAAACTAGCTTATCAGCTAATTTTACCAAACTTAAGTCTTTATAACAGCTGATTAATTAATAGTACTTTGTGGTTCCCATTTTTCTCATCTTAGATTTTTCTACGAGTCAATAATAGTGCTATTATTTTATTTTTCAAAAGATCTCGTCTTCTTAGGCTATGTTTGGTTCAAAGGAGGGGAGGGGAGGGGAGGGAATTTAATGGAAGGGAGGGGAGGGGAGGGGAAGGGAGGGAAAGTAATTTTACCTTGTTTGGAGGGATTTTGTGGAGGGGAGGTGCAGGAAAATGATTAACCTTGTTTGGTTAGAAGATAAAGGGGCAGGGAAAATAAAATAGAATGGACAAATATACCCTTATTTATATTAGGTATTTTTGTATTATAATAAATTGTTAAGGGCATATTAGTAAAAAAAATTGTAAGAGTGAACTTCCCCTCCAAATTCCCCCAAAATTGGAGGGGATGAGATTTTCCCTCGGCTGGGAGAATGGAGGGGAAAATTCTACTCCTTCCATGCAAAAAATTGAACCAAACGACGGAAAATAAAAATTTTCCTTCCCCTCCCTTCTCCTCCCCTCTCCTTCCCCCGAACCAAACACAGTGTTAGACTAAAGAGTTATCAATTTTTTTATTTCAATTAAATAATTTGGCTAAAAAAGATAAAGGGAGATGGTGCACCTAATTATGGGGCAAACTTTTTTTCTTTTTTTTTTTTTATTTCTTTTGCCTGATAAAATGCAAAGCATTTTGAATGGTGGATGATTAAACTAGTTAAAATATTATCATAAGAATTTTAGAATTTTAAGAAGCTATATATTTAACAATTAAGAAACAATAATTGAAAATTTCTATGTAGGTTATGTTTGGTAGACCAATAAATTAGCTTATTGTTTATTTTATTAGCTTATAAGCTCCCTGTATTTAAATAAGCTCCGTTTGGTAGGACGAGATTATTTAAAAAGTTCGAGCTTATTTGATAAGTTTTTTTTGGTAGTTTTTCAAATAAGTTCGTTGAAATTTTTATTTCAGCTAACTTATAAGCTAATTTTACCAAACACTTTTATCATATAAGTTAGTTTGTAGCTATAAATCATAAGTTATAAACTATAAACTCAAAAATTACTAATAAGTTATAAGCTAACTTATCGACTATCAACTAACTTATCAGCTGGTTTTACCAAACATAGTCGTACTTTCCAATAAGTAAAATCACTGTTCCCCACTTAAATATCTCTAGCTATCAATCAATATTAATTAATGTTACAATATTTTTACATTAATTAGCCAATTTTAATCATTACATTTTTATTTCATATTCAGTCATTGTACTTTTATTTCGTATTCATTCACATTTCAGATTTATCTAACTATTTTTTCTAAAATAGTTTTCTCATCTCATTTTTCGAGGAGTGAAAATTTTAAATTTGATTGGAAATAGTTTCCCATTGGTTGGATATATGAATTTTTTTTTTTTTTTTGTTCTTCAACCTATTTATTTAAGATTAATGTTATTTTCTATTTTATCTCATTAAGCGATCTTTTAAAATAGCTATTTGATTTTAATGACATAATAATCATCTTGAAACCGCTTGAAAAATATTTATAATTATAATAATATTAATAATTATTTTAGTATTTTTAATCTAATTAATTGGTCAGGATTCTTAATTTTGTAAGAGTTACATTATTCATTATATTTTACAGAATCAATATAATGATTCATGTATAAATAAAATAGTTTAGAATTATGTTTTTCGTTTTTTATAAATGATCAAATTTATAAAATGTGATGGGTTCATCATTTAACTTATAATTTTAAGTATAATATCATGACTTATAATATTTTATTATACGTAATCCACTATTAGTTAGCTATGTAAGCCAAGCAAAGTTATATTAACATGGAACTCGTATTTCGAGATGATCATTATGCATATCAAAGTAAAAATGTTTAATTTGTATTGAATATGTTACACAAGAATTTATGATCACAGAAAACCATATATCATAAATATTGTACAAGATTTAATGCAGGATTGTTCAGATTTAAAGGTATAAAAGGTGTAAACGAGCCGAGCCAAGCTCGAGCTTACGATACTTAAACTCGGACTCAAGTCTTTATTAAGCCGAGCTCAGCTCAACTCGTTCACTAACGAACTCAAGCTCGGCTCGTTTATCAATATTAAATAGTGGAACTAGAATCTTAACAACCCATACTTGATCCTTACATGCCAAGCTACAAAAACTTAAATGAATATCCCTGTTTTCGAGCCAAACCGAGCGCATGAACAACTTATTTTGTTTAACAACATGAATTGTTAAACAAATCGGGCAATATTTATGTCCCAACACAACACTAAAACCAAACATGGCACAATTTGTCACCCTAACTGCAAGTAGGAAACACTATTCCATAACCATGTCCATCCAAATCAATCCCAAGTCATTAATACAAATGTCAGAACTAAATATATATCACACAACATTTCATTTGAACGTAACGAGACATTAAGGTTGGAATTCGTTTTCATTTTTCCTGTTTTCCCCACCTTTTTTTCCCCTCAACAGTGAAGACATTGTCGTATTAGAAACCGACAATTTTACAACCAATCTCCTCATAATCTGTCCCACATAATGGTAATAATACGGAGTAGCAAGTAAACTTAACGACAAGCTTCCATTTCAAGTAACTCCTTCAGTTTCGATGACTCGGATGAGATATAGGGCTTCACTTTCAGGTTCTTGTTATCTTTACCTGGGGATATATACTTCACTCCTATTAGCTTCAAACCTGCAAAACAAGAGAGGGAAAAAAAAGGGAGAAATTTTCAAAATTATCGCATGATGTCTGCACAGCACCATTGCCGAAGTCAATAAGACATGGTACGTTTGAAAATGAAAATTTGAAGGCACGCAAATTAGCTTTAGATGACTTCACAAAAAATTACACAGGGTGATAATAATTTCCATGCAATGGCAACAAAATTATGAGCATGATTGGATACAAAAAATTCTCAAAAAAATCCAAACATTTTTAACTCAACCACTTTTTTAACTCAACTTTAACTCAACCCCACTATCATCAATATTATTAATATAATTAGAAAATATCAATCAATCATTCTTACACAACACATCAACCTTAATTTACTATTCATCCACTCACATAATTTTAACTAACCATCACTTCAAATCTTATCTTTCCTACTTTACATCAAATCAACTTTAATCATTTTATATTAAATATTATTTTAATATATCCACTAAAAATTAACCGTACCAATTTTTTCAAACCTAACCAAACCAAACAAAAAAATCCAAACAAAACCAAAAATTTTTATATCCAATCATCCTCTTAAGCGCTTAATGAATAATTGCCCCACAATCTATCCACACTCACAGTCAAACAGGTTGAATTTCAGAGGTTCGTGTCATTGATTCTTAATATTTACTTAATTATTTTCAATTTTTACTCCCCACTGAACCGTGTCATATGACCATTAAAAACAGTACCCCAAGGGTAACACAATGAGAAAGCAAAGCAGGCACTAACGACGAGTAAACAAAAATATGGGATACTTGTGTGCACAATTTTTAAGCTGCAGTTGAGATCCAGACGTAGGATACTTCATAAGGAACAGAAACACGATATAATTATACTCACTGTCATCCACGCGTCCATACAAGAACCTCTCTCCTTTCCAGAATTCGAGAGCTCTCATCTTAACTCTTTTGCTCCTTCTAACCCCAGATTCAAATGTCGTGCCAGCATCTGCAGTCAGTAAATATACGGAATTTATCAAAAACCATGATTTAATATAGAACAAGTTTCTGCCACAGGATGGAATATATAAATACCTGCAAGACTTTTCCTCATTGGATGTAACTTCCTAAGGCGCTTTTCACCGGTTACTCTTGTTTTCCTTGGCAGCTTGGCTTGATGAGCCTGATTTGGTAATAAAACACGTAAGATGAAATTAAAAACCATAACAGATAAGAAACAAGATGATATATGATGAATCTTTACTATATTACCACAATAGATCAAATTCCAATTTAAGCACTATACATGAAAAGGACCTCTCTCTCCCTCACGCACATAGGGAGGGCATGGGAGAGAGGGGGAAGAGGGGGAGCAGAGAGAGAGAGAGAGAAAAGTTGAATGGAAAGAGCACAATATTATTTCTTTCAAAAGAATCGCCACACTAGAACCATTGTCCATATCTACTATCAATGTCATAATGCAACATACCGCGCAGTACAAACCTAAGCCAGTTGGGTAAAAACACTATAACATCTATATGCCATGGATTGCCAAATACAAAATCATCACAATAAGTGTGCAGTTAAATTTACTACAACGTGGCCACATAAAAAGTACAAGACCATGAACACATTAGATAAGTAAAGAAAGAAACATAATATGAAACAAATCTGCAAATGACCTCATGTTGTTGATCTGGATCAGTTTGTTGTCTTCTTGACGTGTCATCTCTAGCCTCCTCTTCAAGTACCAAAGGATTTGATTCGTCTGTGATTTGGGATAATGATTAAATAAACAACAGCATGCAATTTATAGAAGTGAATAATTCCACGAAAAAGAACATATCCTAATAGTTGAAGGCGCACATATCATCAAATTCATAAACTAAGTCGAGCTATGAAGTTATAGCATGTTATCCCCAAACATTACCTAGATCCTTCACCCTAGTTCCGCTTTGGAAAAATAAATAAACATTTCATGCAGAAAGGAATCTTACTTTCATCAATATCCATTGCTGTACCAAAATCCTTGCTTGGCTCTTCAAAAGGCCTGCTATCGCTGGGTACATTTTGTATGCCTGCATTCTCATCTACCAATGGATCAGTTTGTTGTCTGCTTGACGTATCATCTCTGGCCTCCTCTTCAAGTATAGAAGGATTTGATTCGTCTGTCATTGGGAATAATGATTAAATAGACAGCAGCATGCAATTTATAGAAGTGAATAGTTCCACGAGATAGATTAACATATTCTAATAGTGAAAGGCGCACATATCATCAAATTCATAAACTAAGTCAAGCTATGAAGTTAATGGCACGTTTTCCTCAAACATTACCTAGATCCTTCACCCTACTATCCCTTTGGGAAAAATAAATAAACATTTCATGCAGAAAGGAATCTTACTTTCATTAATATTCATTGCTGTATCAAAATCCTTGCCTGGCTCTTCAAAAGGCCTGCTATCGCTGGGTACATTTTGTACGCCTGCATTCTCATCTACCAACGGATCAGTTTGTTGTCTGCTTGACGTGTCATCTCTAGCCCCCTCTTCAAGTACAGAAGGATTTGATTCATCTATGATTGGGGATAATGATCAAATAGACAGCAGCATGCAATGTATAGAAGTGAATAATTCCATGAGATAGATAAACATATCCTAATAGTAAAAGGCACACATATCATCAAATTCATAAACTAAGTCAAGCTATGAAGTTAATGGCATGCTTTCCTCAAACATTACCTAAATCCTTCACCCTACTTCCCATTTGGAAAAAGTTAAATAAATATTTCGCGCAGAAAGTAATCTTACTTTCATCAATATTCATTGTTGTATCGATATAATTGCCTGGCTCTTCAAAAGGCCTGCTATCGCTGGGTACATTTTGGACGCCTGCATTCTCATCTACCAATGGCTTAGGCAAACTATATGTATTTCCCAGATCTTCCCGTGCATCCTCATTAGAAACTAAAGGTTCCACATTGACAATATCTACATGTGGTTCCAACTCATTCGACATGCCCAAATTATCCGGGGCATCAACCGGTCCGGATAGTTTATCCTCAAGCTGGGCAGCCAAAGCATTTTGGCTCTCAGACAGCTCAATAGCAGTCGGTGAAAACGGGTCTCTGAGTGGATTCGGTTGCAAAATTTTCTTTTTCAATAATGATATAGAACAAAATGGACTTCTTGGAGGAGTTGGCGAGGATACAAACTTAACTTTGTCTGGCAACTGTTTTTGTTCTAATGTTGGTTTCCTATTCAGATTTTTAAATGTACGGTCTAAACTCAGTGAATTCCTCTCAGATTTTCGTAAACTTTCAGAAACAGTCGTAATACTAGGTCTTCTTCCAACATCAAGTTGTTCGATCATGCCTAGGTTCTCAATATCAAGAGGTTTGATATTTAACCGCTCTTGCAATAGATTCAAAGCCCCATGCCCTTGTAAATCTTCATAATTAAAGGACAACACCTCCTGCAAGATATCACTGTATTCATTCTCTGTATTCTTCATAGATCCTGTAACAAAGTCCATGTGATACTAAATTAGAAGGCAAATACATAGACATTAGACATAATGCTACGTAGTTTTGGATAAGCAAAATCGTAAAGCAGAAAACAAATCCTTCCAGTTTCTGCAATTATTAAGAACACACTAAGGTGTACTCACCAGCCAGTTCAACTTCCTCTAAATTATAATCAGGATTAAGATCCTCAGGTGGACCCGGTATGTCTTCTTCAACTACTCTTTGTGAATTGTCCTCAGGTGAACTTGGAATAGCCCCTTCAGCTACCTTTTGTGAATTGTCCTCAAGTGAACTTGGAATGTCCTCTTCAGCTATTGTTTGTGAATTGTCCTCCTGTGACCTCGGAATGTCCGCATCAGGTAATTCTTGGGATGACACATCATTTTCAGAGAGGTCCTTTGTAAAGCGGTGCTTATAAGTATACGACTTCCTACAAATAAAAGGAATTTGTTGATAGCATGATGGAAACACCAGATACAGAAAGGCCTATGAGCTCTAAACATAACATTGCACCGCAAATGAATCAATATGTCATACAGTAAGCAAAATAGTGCATATACCCTAAAATCCCTGGTCTACGACGCCGTTCGTTATTTGATGGTTCATAAAGGCTGAATTTGTCCACATTTGCCCCCAGCTGTTTTTGTATCTCTTTGTTGGCTTCTGAAACAGTGAAATACATGATTGTATAACCCAAACAATTGCATCACATAAAAAATTGCACGTTATCTTGAAAATAATAAAAGAAAAAAGGAAAATGATATACTTTCCATCCGCTCATAAGCTTCAAAATATTCATCTGGGTCGTCAATGCTATCAAGGGCCACATTATTTTTCCAGGTAACTGTAGGCTGACTGTACAGAATAGGCACATACGTTATAATCTAAGACATAAATCTTCTCAGAATAGGACCAATCTAAAGTTGAAAAGTAAGCAAATTGGATTTCACCTGATATTGGTCTTCAGAGAAAATTTAGCCCTTTTCCGAACAAGGCCAAGACCAGGTCTCCGTTCTTGAGGTCTGTCTCGGTCCTTACCTTTTGCATGTGTGGCACCATTATTTCCAGCATTTTCGAAAAAACTAGAAAGATTGGACTTCAGAAGCTCAGCCCCGCCATCCACAATTCTCTTCGCCTCGTTCATGAGCTTTTCAGGACTCCTAAACTCCTTTAAATACAAACCCAGGAAAGGAACACATGCCAAATTTTACAATGTTTTCCTTGTTGTCATGTTCATATAAGTTTGATAACGAAGTGAACTACATAAACACTTCAACCAGGCTGCAGTCATGAACTATTGAACTCAATTATACAAAATAGTAACTCATTTCCACTACAATCCACCATCAAACAATTTATGTTTAGCAGGTAGCTAGACTCGTGCGCACAAAATATTGCGAGGAAAATCAAATTAAAAAAAAAAAAAAGGAACAAAACGCTTTTAAAGCCCACATATTATTTCTCCCGCAGAAAAAACTTTCAGCCACCAAAAATAAATGAATCCCACACTATACCTAGGCAAGCACATATTCCAAATATGAACCAAAAAACGGTACAACTCAAACTAGAAGAATGCACATAACCTGTAAATAACAGCAGAAGATAAACTAACTCGCATCAGCCCCCAATTACACTCATCCGGAGCTGGTAACCAGTTAATAGAGTGAAACAACGAGGGATCGGGAAAAAAATTATACCAGGGACTTCATCAAGCTGTGGATGGAATTTAGGTCTTTTGGATCGGACTGCGCTGGAAAGCTGGCTGAGGCCTTGAACGTGCGGGGAAAGAGCGAAGGCCCAACGAGTCCACTCAGTGGGTCTGTGACGCCGGAGGCCGCCGCCTCTTTGGCCATTAACGCCGTAGTTCTCCGGTGTGTGCTGCGTGAAAGAGAGAGTGAGAAGGGTGTGCGGAGGTTAGAAATTTGGAGATGTATTTCAAATTTTAAGGGGAAGACGATGAGCGAGAGGGAAGGGAACTTTTGCTATAAAAGCGCGTTTTCTCATGTAGCGTTTATAGTGTTGGAGGTGATCCAATCTCGTAAAGTCGGATAAAAACGGTAAAAAACAAAAAAAAAATGAATTTTGGTACTAAAATTATTGGAAAATGTTACATCTCGTTACAGAACCATTCTGTTGATATTTGTAACCGTTAGATCATCATGTAATCGTCATGGATAGTTGATCTAACGGTTACAAATACCGACGGAACGGGACCGTAGAATCTCCCAAAATTATTATTATGATTTTTATAATTACTATTATTTTATTTTTCGTTTTATTATTAGATATCTTATACATGTCTTGGGCATGTCTGACAATATGCACCTATTGAAATTATGACGCCATATCCTTTTACTTTATTCGAATAATATTTTTTAAGAAAATTTCATAATTAAAATACTGATTACTTTACTTAAAAACTAATAGAAATTAATTTTTTATGGTACACCAACTTTATCTTATTTTCGTTTTTAGCACCCAAAAAATTTTCACTCTATCAATTCTTTCTTGTACCCAACGTAAAAATGACATAAAAGTAAGAAAAAAAATATGAACAAATATGTAAAAAATATCATTTTGAATATAAGGTTCATATAAGTCCAAAACTTCAAAATAAGAGTTCTCCCATCGAATTTGGACAATCATGTTTACGGGAGTCGTTTGTTGAAATATTTTTCCTGCAACTGCACACCACCGAAAATCTAAAAACTTCACTTACGTTTTTTTTATTATTATTTAAGGGTGGATTAGCGATCAGGAGATGTCATTAGATTCCTTATAAAAATAGTTTTCTATACAACAGTATGATCTCCAGTAACATTCAAAAACAATTTACTGCACAATTTATTGATTTTTAATAGAATAGAAAAGTAGTAAAAACAACATCAAATCTTCATTAAAGCTTGAGGAACGATTTACATAGGAGATAAATGGAGAGGAAAGCTTCGGTTTCTTGAGAGAGAGAACCGAGAAAATGAAAAGACAAAAAGTGAACAGAAAACCCTAATGCTATCCTATTTATACTAAAGGCTGAAACATAATGCAAACCAAAAACAATGCTAAGGCCCAAAATGCTAATCTTCAGGCCCAAGATACAAATAATCTTATGGCCCAATACAAGCTATATTCTAATATCCCCCCGCAAGAGGAACATGTATGTTTACAATGTTCATCTTGGAGAGGCAATTGTGAAAGGGAGGAGTGGCTTTGTGAGAACATCTGCTATCTGGTCAATTGAAGGAACAAACTAGAGAGAAATAACTCCTGCAGACAGCTTCTCTCTTATTAGATGGCAATCAATCTCAATGTGCTTCGTCCTCTCATGGTGGACAGGATTTTTGGCAAGAGCTATGGCAGATTTGCTATCTAAAAGTAATGAGACAGGTGAAGTGTAAGTAATGTTCAGATCCTTAAGCAGATATAGAAGCCACTGAGCTTCACAAGTTGTGAGAGCTAGGGCTCTATATTCTGCTTCAGCAGAAGACCTGCTGACAGTGGGTTGCTTCTTTGACTTCCATGAAATCAAAGAATCACCAATGAAGAAAGCATAACCAGTTATACTTCTCCTTGTATCAGGGCAACCAGCCCAATCACTGTCACTATAGCCTCTTAAAACCAAATCAGAAGTTCTGGGATAGAGAATACCTTGTCCAATAGTGCCCTTAACATACATGAGGATCCTGTTGGCAGCAGTCATGTGTTGATGTGTAGGGCAAGAGACAAATTGACTTAAACAATGAACACTGTGAGTTAAATCAGGTCTAGTAATGGTTAGGTAAAGTAACCTACCCACTAATCTCCTGTACTCAGATGCATTAACAGAAACAACATTCATGTCAGGACAAGTAGCAGATAGTTTTAAGTTGGCATCCATGGGAGTTTTAGCAGGTTTACAATCTAAGTAGCCAGTATCCTTTAAAATATCCAAAGCATATTTTCTCTGACATAGGTGAATGCCCTTATCAGATTGTGCTATTTCCAAACCAAGAATGTATTATAAAGGTCCTAAATCCTTTATAGTGAAGCATGAGTCAAGATGATGTTTAATAGCAGAAATAGCAAATAAATTATCACATGTGACTATGATATCATCAACATATACAAGGAGAATTAAAATGCAGTCAAGTTTGGAATACACAAATAAAGAGCTATCAGATGTAGATTGATTGAAACCATAAGCAATTAAGCATGTAGTCAATTTGTGAAACCATTGTCTAGAGGCTTGTTTCAAGCCATATAGACTTTTGGTTAACTGACAGACCCTGTTATCATCAGCAGCTAAATATCCAGGGGGTGGGGTCATGTAAACAGTTTCATCTAAATCACTATGCAAGAAAGCATTATTAACATCTAACTGATGAATGTGCCACTGTTTAATGGAAGCAATGCATAAAAGAACTCTAACAGTGGTGATTTTAGCAACAGGAGAAAAGGTGTCAAAGTAGTCAATACCTTCTCCTTGTGTGTAGCCTTTGGCTACCAATCTAGCTTTATACCTCTCAATTGTACCATTTGATTTGTATTTTATTTTATATACCCATTTGCAGCCAATGCAATGATGGTTAGAAGGTAAAACAACTAATTTCCATGTATTGGTCTTTTCAAGAGCAGAAATTTCTTTATGCATGGCTTCCTGCCACAGTGGATCTAAGACAGCTTGTTTATATGTCTTAGGTTCACTGTTGACAGTGATGGCAGCAGTAAAACATGCATGGTCATGGGACAATGATGCAGATGATAAGTAATTTAACAATGGATATGGTGTTCCAGACATGTCAATATGAGCAGAATTGGAATTTGAAGATTGTGGCAGTGAGTGTGTATAGATTTGTAGGTAAGAAGGAGGCTTTCTGATCCTAGAGGATCTTCTGAGCATGGCTTGTGGAGATGTGGAATTTGGTGGTGTAGGTTGAATATTGATAGGGGAAGGATTATTAGTAGAAGGTGTGTGTGAGGATTGCATAGGAGTTGCAGAAGAAGGATTTGGTTGTGGTGAAGGTGTAGAAGAATGATTTTGTAAAGAGGATGTGGGAAGTGAGTTAATGGATGGTGTATCTGAATATGTAAAGTCTGGTGGTTGGGGAAATAAATTTTCAGAAGTGGTTTGAAGTATGGAATTATGTTTGAAAGGTAACACATGTTCATAAAAGAAAACATTTCTGGAAATTTCTATTTTCTTGGTATCTAGATTGTAAAGTCTATATCCTTTACAACCAACAGGATACCCAAGAAGTATGCATTTAGATGCCATATGATCAAATTTAGATCTGTGTGCAGTAATGGTAGATGCATAGCATAAGCAACCAATGACTTTCAAATGTGTTAATGAGGGGGCTTTGTTGTATAGTTTTTCAAATGGTGAAGTGTTGTTATGCACAATGGATGGAATTCTGTTAATTATGTGAGCTGCAGCA